TCTTGCATTAAATCTTCTTTATTTAATAGTTCATGTTTGTCAGAGAATTCAGAACACACCTTACATACCTTGACCAGACGAGGCAACACATTTTCTCTTGCTTCTTCAGTGTTTACCTTGTAATGGTATATCAATATACCCAAATGTTGGATGTAGAATGTACATACAGGAAGTCATGTCAAGCTTCACTTCAAGCTTTAGGTGTGCCAAAATAAGACTTTTTTTTCCCTCCATGTTCACTTCCCCTTTGTGTCCATTAATTTCATGCCTGTGTACATACTCATAAACTAAGGAATTAAAGAAGTTTTAGCATTTCCAGCTGTTTTACATGCTTTGAACGTAGGGAAATACAATTATATAGCTGAAATATGTTCACCATCTTTGGGACTCATATAAAAACCATGGAATAAGAGCTTCTAGCCAACATGATAACACAACTAGACATGAACAAAACTGAAATAGATAGGGGGTCATATTTATAATCTATTTCTCACACACTCATGCACATGAAGTGTATATTAATATGTCAAAGCAAGGTGTATGTATGACAGTAAATGTGGAAGCCATCATTCTTTTATTTCCCAATTCATCACAACAAATCTACAAAATTGTCCTTTTTATGAAGATGCAGTCAGCTAAGCTAAATTTATACAACTCATAGCTTTGAGATTGATTATTTTTCTGGGGGCAGTTCATCTCTTGCTGCAATCAGTCTTAATAAAAGGTGCTGAGTGAGCTCAGTTATTCACCTTACATTGAGAGAGTCAGGACACTGCCAATAGCCGAGCATTTGTTATGCTAATTTCCCTTTTCAATTTTTCCCATTCGGATTATCTCGGTATTTCTGTCAAACCTTTTTGAGTCCTCAAATCTAAACATGATCATTTGATAACCATCTGATATGCTCAGCAGTTTGGAAATGTTTGACACAGCAAACACAGTGTGTAGGGTTGATAACACTGCAGCATTGATTAAACGCATTTTTAACTGAACTGTTAAATAAAGTTCAATTATGAACGTCCCAAGCCACGATCAAATTCTTTAATTCAACTTTGTGAGTTAGCCTAGTGCATAAAATCCTTGTATTGTGCCACATCTGTTACACAGAGTTTATTGGACTTCTCTAGAGATGTATAGCGCATTATGCTATAATTCCTTCTTGGGAGGCACTGCTGCTTGTTGTGTTTACATTGTAATTGTATGCAGGAAGGCATTAGGGTGTTAAACGCATTCGTCTTACAGTGTGTGACAGGATGAAGCGAGTCTGTCTAGCAGAAACTCTGATTCTATTTAAGGGATTTACATGCAATCAGAATAATTTATGTCCTGTTCTGTCACAACATATTAGTGGTTGTGACATGTTGGAAACAGCTGATGAGACTTCAGTTGAGCATCTCTGCTCCCCATTAGTTGAGGTAGTGTTGTGAGGAAATGTTGTACAGGGTGAATGATTGTTATAGGAAGTTGTTCACGGAAAGTTAGTCTTGTGTTTTTTTTTTTTACTGCTGCACAGTGCAAACATGGATTATTTGGTCTGCAGTCATCTTCCCCATGTCCTTTTTGAGTAAACATATCTTGCAAGATAAAGTGCAGCTCGGGGAGTAATACGTACGCCGTGTGTCATTGCGTTTGTGTGTTGTAAAATGACTGTGTTTCCTGCCCGTATCAGAGGCAAGCCCTGCCCTGTGGATACACATGCTCAGATAGGCCTCGGGTTATTGCAACATTTATCGGGGTGAGGTTCAAGGTGTGAGGTAGGCATGGGTGCAGCTTCTGAATGATTTACTTTGCATCTGCACTTTGTCGAGAAGGTGGAGGAGATGCTGTCGGGCTATTGTCTCCACTCCATACACACTGACACCACGTTTAATCCTATATCAACAGAAGAAAAGGTATGTGTCTATTGAAAGGAGGCTCTTGTTCTTTGTAGTTGATTCAGGGTAATGATTGATAGAGTGAGTGCATGTGAGACCGTTTCTGCTCTGGAAAAGCAGACATTCCTTCGCTGTTGGGTGTGTCAATATGAGCAAAGCAGTTTTTAAGCAGTTGAGAGCAGCAGAAAATGAAACATCTAGGGATCTAATAATAACTTCTTGTGTTTTGCTACTGGCAAGTCCATCGTGCGCGGAGAATTTGTCATCCTCCTCTAAAGAATTTTCCAACGAGTGGCACCTACAGTACTGGGAGGTCACATGCGGACACTTAGCAATGCACTGTCTGAGGTTAAGGTTAATCAGTGACGTGCTGTATGTATAGGACCATCGGTATATTTGTGTTGCCCACATTCTCAAATCTGCTCAGAGCAATTACTTTGTCAGAGCCTCCTAACAGTCAGCACTTTCTAACCACGTGTTTAGCTTAATAGTGTGTGCAGTAGGGGATTTCAGAAATTGTTTCAGAATTCAGTGACTTGCTGTAAAAAACATAATGCTGCTGTTGTGAATGCTTTCTGAGCTGTTTCCCTACTTTTGTCATCATTCTGGGGATTTATTGAGGCTGAAATATATTATTGCTCATCTTGGTGAATTCTGATAAATTATACTTGACCACAAATGTTAGTTTTATTCAGGGAAGTCAATAAACTGTTCGAAAAAAGCAATTAAGTAGTGTGTGTCTTTTGGGGACATTTTTGCAGCTGCTGAGAGATTAGCGGTGGCTGTATTTCTCCTCACAAAGATTTCACATGCTACATAATGCTGCTGAGCCACTCTAGATAAGTTATAAGCAACCATGTGCCACAGGGGCCCCGAGAGCACGTGAGTTTTCATTAAAAATACACCAGATGATTTCACTGATCAGCCCCCTCCTGCACAACTTGAAGTTAATCAGTGAACATCTAATTTGGTCTTTTGGTTTGGATGAATACCTGCGCATCTTCATGCTGTTCATGTTTGCCCTCCTCTTCTTCGTTATAATGCAGTTTTGTCACATATTATACCTTTTATCAAAAAAATAAATATTGCACTTGGCCATATTGCAGTTTCAATGATATTTTAATTAATTGTGCAGCCATACTTTGACCACTTCATGGTTGTTTCAGACATCCTTGGCTCACTGCACACAGTGTAGCTCTTACAAGTGGGTATTTTGCGAGTTTCATAGATTGCCAGGTTTGGTTCTGTATGTGTATATGTGTGTTTTAAGAAGAGAGGTAATTGATTGTTACTTATCACTTCTTTTGTCTCCAAAAAGAGGTGCAGTAGCCTTTTGTAGGTTGTTGTGCTGTTGGAGAGCTCTCTGCTGTGTTTGTGCTGTAGATTTCCCGGCCCTTTTTAGCTCAGCAAGTCGGAGCAATCAGAGTTTGAACTGCTATTTTGCCAAGACTCCCTGCAATTGAAATTCAGGCTAATGTATAATTATTTCTCTGCACATCTCCATTTGTCTGCGTTGAATGTCTGTGACCTGGTGTCATTAGCCCTCCCAAAGACAAATCTTCCTGCCTGCTGACTGGCAGACAATGGATCTTTTGATTTACAGGAACACTGCATGCACTCAGGTGGCAGCAGTTTATATCTTCTTGAAGTAAAATTGAGAAATAAAAGAATGCATCAGTCACTGCATTTACTTTCACTTAAGTCAACTGATTACTGTCAGATTCCTGCAGTTGCCTGATTTCTTAAATGTCATGTAAGCAATGAGGGATTAAGAGAAGACACGGTTAGATTTTCGCTGGAGAATCCTAATTTCCCAGGTATTAACCAGTTTTTTTTTTTTTTTAATAAGCAGACATGACATGACAGACTTCAGAATCAGACAGGTTTACTCGCTGTGGCAGCAGTGCAGTGGCATGAAAGGTTAGATCACTACTCATGATGGTGCGTCCTTGAATCCAAAATAATCACATCGAAGGTCAGGCTAAAACAGAAATGGAAATGAATAAGTATTAATGGTTTTTAACTGTTTATGTGCAGAATATTTGTAAAACTCACATGAACACAGCCTGACCTCTAATTGCACCGTCAATCCAAATGCTCTGACTAAAAAAGAAAACAAATCTTTTGGGTTCAGAATTATAAATCACCAAAACACTTAAATATGCAGTCTTGACTCATAATATGCCCAAGGAGAAATGTGCTTACTGACCAGCTGCTTGTAAGCACAGGAGTTATAATAATTGTGTTACTGCGGTGCATGTAAACGTAGCCTGTGTGACGGCAGATATTATATTTGCTACTGCAGTGCTCCTTGGGGGAGGTGACACAAGGCACAGGTGGCTTTAAGAGGAATCAGAGAACTTACAAATTCATGTCTGTAGATGAAATCGATCGAAGAAGCCAGAGTTTGAAATTCTCTTCAAAAACATGCTCTGCTTACATTAAGGTTTGACTGGTCATGTTTTAAAACACTTATACACTTTGACTATTGCTTCCTTTTCCTTTTCCTTCCCTCCATAAACTACATTTTACTGGGAGAAGGAGAGTCACGGAAAGAGGGGTTGTGTAAGAAGCTCTGAGGAGTGGCCGGAGTCTGAGGTCAGTAGATCAGATCACATGATCCAACGAGTCAGGGTGGGGTCAGACTAAGACTTTTTCTTGGCAGACTTGGAGACATTCAGGATTATGATACTTTAAAGAGGAGCTTTAGCTCCGACTAGAAAGTGTGTCTGGTAAAAGACATGCTCATTATTCCATGTTAAACAGTCGGACAAATCCATCACCGAAAGCAATACTCTTTAAAATGATCTTGATATTTGTTCTGGCATTAGCTGTGTACAAAGATGTTGTCATGCTGTCGTACACACAGTGTTTATTTTCTGCTTAGTCAAGGGAAATAACCAAAATGGTAATAATTAGACGCTGGTTTGCGTCTTTGTTTAAACCAGAATGAGGTCATTTTTGCTCTGTGGGAACTATGCAGTACGGTCCCTGGGTATTAACCTAATGACAGCCCTGAAAGCTGCACAGACTAGGCTCGGCTCCTCAGCTTCTCACCTACTTTTCATCCTTTTGCTCGCTTTTCAGACTGTCTAAGGGCCGGACGTAACCATATGTTTTTAACCGCCAGAAAGTTCAGCAAGGTTATTTTTTTCCCCTCAGCATTTCAAGGGAAACGCAAAGAGAAATGTTGAAGAACCAGTCAGCCGTGTGTGTATAGGACTGTAGGTTGGCAGCAGCATCGTTGTCTTCACTCCTAACCTGAAAGCTGCTAAGAACTCCCGGCTAAGGCGAGTGCATTCAGTCTGGACCAGAAATAATGGGGAATTTCAGAGGTAGGAACAGATACAGATCACAGTTTTTCTTTTGCTTAATGGCCTTCAATAGCGATTGCCTTCCTTTTTGTATGTTATTTTTTCTGCGGTTTTACTTCCTTCAGTCTGCTTAGTGTGCACTTTCCTACAGTTCAGACAAGTTTAGACTGCTGATAAATATTCATTGGATAAATTATATAAACAGATAGTGGTCAAAGTGTAAAGTTCTTTTTCTTGTGATAGGCTAGTCATTTGTGTGTTTTATCAAATAGTGAATGGGTACAGACATGGCATGATAAGGCCTATTTATACTTAATCTATGGTTACTTAAATAACAATTGCTGTAACAGTTCCTGGCTTCCATAGCTGCACACTTCTCATTGTCCTTTTGTGAGAAGATACTGAGAGAAAGCAGAAAGGATTTTGTCCACCCCGACCGGGTTGGCAACTTGTGTCAGTTTTAGAAAATGCACTCAGTCAGTCCTGTCTGTGCTGTTCTCCTCTGTGTTTGTGCAGAAGTCAGGGAGGAGGAGGAGCTCTGTCAAATTCAAACAGCTTCTCCCGTTTCCCGTTTCTGTGTTTTCTGGGAATCAAGTGCCATGTCCTTGATTTTAAAGCTGCAGTGGAGGTGGGTGGGAGTCAGTGCGGTATGTTGCAACACTATGAATGAGCAGGACAGGAATTTGGGAGACTGACGGGGGAATACATGGAATATCCTGAGCAGACTAACATACTTTGGTAGTAGCAAAAACCTCTTCTGTCATTTAACACCAGGGCTGGCACATGGCTCGCTTCAGCTCAGACACCTTGAAATGCTCACGCTGCCTTGGTGACAGACTCCGAGAATACCCCAGGGTCACATTTCGTCCAAATGTCTGGGGGACCTCCCACGTACTTCGTGCCCCCTCCTCCCCAACTGCCTCATCCCTGGCTGGAATCTTTTATGTTCTCACTGTAAACAACTCAACCAGCTCACACAAACTGGCTGTCACCCTGAGCTAAATGATTCCTTAGTCATCTGTGCGTGCGTGCGTGCGTGCGTGCGTGTGTTTGCAGGCAGATTCAAGTCAGTGAGTGCTTTTTTCATGACAGTATGCGAGCCTTTAACCCTTTAAAATGATGTCTGTCGGCACAAAATTGACTCATTCAGTAGAGCTACTGTATATGAGGTCTTCCAGTCACCCTCAGGCTGCCATTATGGATTAAGAATACTACAATAGGCACTTAAATGGAGAGAGTATTCAGTTGCTAGCGGCGGGGCTATTTAGTAAATTACCATGTGGTTATTTCATGGTGGCTTTAGCGACTAATATTCTTCTACATATTCACACGTGAAGCTGTCACACCACAATATGCATCACATCTACAGTGTTCGGTCTTTAGTAAAGTAAATCACGGAGGTCACAATATATGTGTAGAAACCAATGGGTGGAATATGTCTTTATGTTCGTATCTTGGGGATGACAGCGGCAGTGGATCTCTAAGGCAGTAAAAGTCATAGTAAAATCCCTGTTTCCCTAAAGTCACATACCTCCTGTGTTATTAGACCCCTTGCTTTTGTCTGCTGCAGCAGCCCTGAGCTGCAAGGCAGCCATCTCAGCCTTTAGCTGCCCTGTCTGGCTCAACAGGCACCTTCTAGTAAATATGGATCCACCTTGAGCAGCGTTCCCTTGACACCCTCCCTGTCAACGGATATAATGAGACCATAACTATTCGTTCTACTTTCTCATTTCAATCCTAGACAAGAGGCCAGAGAGAGCGAAGGAGACAGGAACACCTTATCTCTTCCGTCGGGCTGCTGACTTGTTTTTTTGTTTCATTTTTTTTTTTTTTTCCAAAGGCCTGCCCTCGCTCATCTCCTTCAACCTTTCCACTGCATCGTATACAAATATGTATAGTATTATCCAGAGCACACACATGCTTGGTATTTTAGGGCAGCTTTTGCATTGTTAGGGTTTGAATTTAAATCGCGCCTTCGTTAGAGCTGCTGGCTGTTGTTCTGTTTGTGTTGTATTTTTTAATGTGACTGTATTACATACACAAATCATTATTTAACTTGTTGTCTCAGGGCCATATGGCATTGATTTGCACTGTCACAGACGTGAAACATTGACAGTCTTTTTCTCTTTGAGCCATATGGCATGTGTGGGTGTGCGTATGTGTATTTCTGGTGGTGGCGTGTGACCATTGATAGTCGGTCCTCATCATTCGCCTGTGTGTATCGGGGAGTGGTTGCCTCAAAGAGTGTGTTTGCACACGCATGCACACAGTCTGGTATGTGTGTACAAGATTGTGTTGTTTTTTTTCTTCAGAAGAGTGCCTGTGGTGACCAGATCATGTTCTGTGTGTGTGTGTGTGTGTGTGTGTGTGTGTTTGTCCACACAGGAGGAATGCCAGCTCCTGAGCAGAGCCCAGTGACGGAGGAGGGGCTTCTGCTGACCATCCGCGACAGTTCAACTGGCCGCAACATGGAGGCTGACAACACGGCCAACAACATCCTGGCCTCCGTCAAAGAACAGGTAGTGTGTTTCTTCCGTTCTGCGCTAAGAGCCCACTGATTTGTGTTGTATCTCTCATATTATGGCACTGTTAAAGCTTTTATGAACCATTTATGTACAGTGACATTTATAGAATGCTAAATTGCCCGGTGACTCACGTATTGTACTAAAAAGAAATCCGCTGGGCAAAGTATGTGCCCATTTTTTCCTGCACATTTGTGTGTAACACCCTGTTGTCACTGTAATCATATAACTTACCTCTCGGCACAGAGCCCAAAATAGAAAGTTGTCGTTTTTCTGCGTGCGCGATGAAGATTTTTGTACAGCAGAACTGTGATCGTGGGGGTTTATTTATTTTTTTTGTCTTGTGGAAAAAAGTGAAGTGGAATAAGCTTGACTGGGAGCTATTCGTTGTTTATTGCCTGCAGTCGTGGCCTGGCTTACATGAATGGACAACCAGGAAGATCATCTCTAGCAGGGTTTGTGAGCCTGTGGTGGGACGTGCCCTCTGACTCACTCAATCTATGCCTGTCTAACTGTGATTCACACACACACACAC